CTACAGGCCCATGTGGGAGGCCTGGCATTCTGCCATTGGGGTCCCTGGTGATCCCGCACCAAAGGCCACGTCGAATAAAGTCGCTCCTGCGTGCAGTTGAGAGGAGGAAAAGACAGAACGCCAACGGCGATGATGATTGTGATGATGATGATGATGATGATGATGATGATGATGATGATGATGATGATGATGATGATGATGATGTTGCTGATGCTGCTGCTGCTGCTGCTGCTGATGATGATGATGATGATGACGATTGTGATGAGTATAAGTGTGATGATGATCCTGTTGATGATGGTGATTGTGATGATGATGATGGTGATGCCAAAAAACAATGGCGACGATAATGATGATGACGGTGCGGACGATGATGATGATGATGATGATGATGATGATGATGATACTGATGATGAAAATGAGTATGATGATGGTGGTGATGATGGTGATGATGATAGTGATGATAGTGATGATGGAGATGATGATGATGATGATGATGATGATGATGATGATGATGATGATGATGATGATGATGATGATGATGATGATGATGATGATGATCGTGATGATGATGGTGTTTGTGCTGCTGACGGTGGTGATAAGACTGATGTTGCTGATGTCAGGAGCATGTGATGATGGTGAGGAGGAGGATGATGGTGCTGATGATGATGACGATGGTGATGTTGATGATGCTGATTATGATGATGACGCTGCTGATGCTGATGATGTTGATTATGCTAATGGTGATAGAGGTGATGATGATGGTGATGATGAGGAATGATGGTGATGCTATGATGATGCTGATGATGGTATGGGGATGATGATGACGACGACGATGACGACGACGGTGACGACGACGACGACGACGATGCCGATGGCTTGCGGGTCAAACCTCGGAACTCTGGCGACCACTCAAGACGATTCGGGCATCCCCCGAACGCTCTCGGTGAGGCGGGGCTGCTGGAACGCATCCCGAGGCTGGAAATCCACCAGGAACTGACGAAAACGTCCGAGAGTGCGCAGCCGTTCGTACGATCCCTCGCTCCAGAGGCCACTCCGACGAAGGTCGCTCTTGCGCGTAGCCGGGGGCGTCCAAGACGGGATCGTCCATGAGGGGGGGTGGAAATTATGGGCCGAAGCATGTGCGCGGACGAGGGGGTGACCAGGGGACGCATTGAAAGAAGAAGAGGGGGCCATGAAATCCAGGGAGGCATCATGGCCCTGGCCATGATATCCATACACACACAGTCATCGCCTCCCTCTTGGACGCCGCGATATCGTCGAGAGGAGGAGGAGGAGGAAAAGAAAGAGGAGGAGGAGGGCATGAAGCAGGTATATGCTCGCCGATCGTCCAAAAGGGGGAGGGGGATGACACGCAGCTAATCGAAGTTCGCCGCACGTCCACCACAAGGAAGGAGGGGGAGGCAGGGGAGGGCACGCAGCGCAGCTGATCTGCGTTCGAACGCCCAGACCGTGGAGAAGGAGGAGGAGGAGAAGGAAAAGGAGGAGGAGGAGGAGTACACGTAGTTGATTTACGCACGTTTTCCTGAATGCTCAAAAAGAGGAGGAGGAGGAGGAGGAGGAGGAGGAGGAGGAGGAGGGGGAGGAGGAGAAGGAGGAGGAGGAGGAGGAGGGGCAGGAGGAGCAAGACCACAGACGGCCGGGCCCTGCTCCGGGCCGCCCAGGGCAGCCCCGCTGCCGTCACCCCTGCCCCGCTTGGCGGCCAGGGGGGCAGCGGCCTGCGCCGCCGGCGGGCGCCCCGCGGCGTCGGCGCCGCCGAGCTCGCCGGGGCCGCCGCGGCCAGGGGGGGCGCCTGGGGGTGTAGACCAGAGAAGAAGCGGCACCACCCCGCCTGCGGCCCCAGGAAATCTGGCGTGGGTGTTTGCGTGGTGTACGCTACGGCCCCCGATGGGCCGTAGTTAGAGGAAGAAAAAGAACACATGAAAATCAACTTTCGACGGTCCGCGCGGATTTCTTGGATTTGCGCTAGGCCCCCTTCCCTGGCGCGCGGAGCGCGCCAGGGGCGGCGCCGGAGGCGCCGCCAGGGGGCCCCAACGCAGACCCAAGAAATCCGCGCGGACCGTCCAAAGTTTCGGTTTGTGTGTTGTGTTCTTTGGGGGTAGTGCAGCCTGGCGGGCCGCAGCTGGGGCGGTGTCGCTCGTTTTCTGGCGGACTACTCTTCCAGACGTGAGGATGCCAGGTAACCCCAGAGTCTGGAAGCCGGTTGCACTCGAACCGTGGACTGGCCATGGATATCACCGCCGCCCTCCTCAGAGAACGAATCCTTCAGGGTCTGACGCCTCCTGGGCACGTTCCTTAATCATCGTGGATGCCATGACAATGGACACTCTAACAATCCTATCATTGAATTAGAAAATATGTTTAAATGTGTTAAACATGTTCTAAAAATCTGTCAAACATGTTTTTTACATAGTTTAAACCTGTTTGGAACATCACCTTAAATCGACGCCCCACAGATCGTCCTCCACAACTCAATCAACGCCCCACCGTACTTTTCCAGACGTGAGGGTATCCGCGCAGACGTCCCGAGGCCGCCGTCCTCGACCTGCGGCCCTCGACCGCCGCCGCTGGACGCCCCCGCAGGGCCCCGCGGGCCTCCGAGGAGGGCCCGCCCGGAGCCCGTGCCCCCGGGGCGCGCCTCCCGCGAGGCCGCCGCCGCCGCCGCCCGCGGGCTCCGCCCCAGCGCCGGCGGCTGCGTCGCCGCGGGCCGGGGAGGCCCGGATGGTGACCTCCTCGGAGGGGTGCTCCTGGCGCCCCCCCACCCCTCTTGCTCGGGAGAGGGAGGGAGACCGAGGTCCGACGAGCTGTCGGGCCCCCTCTGGAGCCTCCCAGGGCGTCCTCGCCGCCACGGCCGGATCCGCCCCAGCTTTGGGCCCATGGGGGCTCGCTTTGGGCCCCATGACCCCATGAAAATGGTAAAGTTACCGACCAGGTTGAAACAACGAGAGGTCTGGGGGCCCATATCACGAAAACAATCGTGACGTCGGATGTCTGGGAGTCCTCCCCCTCGGCATGCTTCCTCCCGCTCCCCCCTCCTCTACCCCACTCTCACTCTAGCTCTCTATCTCCCTCGCTCTTCTTCGCTCTTCTCACACTCTCCCCCTCCCGCCTCGTCCGCATTGTGCCTCCCACTCCACCCCGCCCCCCCTTGCCCCTGATCCTCTTTCCGAGGAGGGGGAGGACGAGCGGGAGGGCGAGAGGTACGGAGGGGGACCAGAGGGGGCGAGGAGCAGGAGTGGGATGAGGGCGATGCGGGATGAGGATGGGGATGACGAGAAGGCCCAGACACATGGCGGCTCCAACGAATCAAGACGGCTGCTTTGACACCATGTTGGCCCTCGCACTTGCTCCGTGAGTCAAAACAATCAAAAACTGCTTCGGATGAAACGCCGCCCAAAGGAAGGGGTCGAGAGGTCCAGGTGGCCACGCCTCGACCGAATCAAGCCCCTGTCGGCTTGAGCTGGAGGAGGGTGACGAAGAGGAGAGCAGAAGAGGAGGATGATGATGATATGATGATGATGAGGACGAGGAGGAGAGCAGGCGGAAGAGGCGGGGGAGTGGGAGAGCGGGGGGCGGAAGGAGTAGGGTAATGGAAAGGAGGGCAAGGGGGATGAGAAGGGCGAGGGAGGAGTACGAGGGAGGATGTGTACGCGTGCAAGCAAGTGCGCATTGATGTGCGCGGGCATTTGCGTGGCCTTTTCTGCTTAACGACATAAGCACCCCGTCCAAAATAGAAGTGCAACGCTGCATGGCAGACACACGTGGGAATCTTCCGACGCGGAGTGCGTCTGCTAGGGTCTCGAGGGACACATCGGTAAGATCGGACGGGGCCTCTGAATGAATCATTTGGTCACCCGTGACAGAGCCCGCATGCTTGACGTAAACGAATGGGAGGATACCAGCTGGAATGCTCCAAATATTGCATCGTGCAGGATGCTTGACACCATTTCTGCCCCGGTGAAGCCCCAAGCCCTCATTCAGATTCCTGTTGTCGAACTGGCGGCCTTGCTGAAACCAAGACTTCTTGAAGCAAAGGGTGCCTTCATTGACCAGAAGTCCTGCGTCATTGCGAACGCAAAGCTGTTTCGTCGACACGTAATAAAAATAATTTCTTGCCATGGATACACAATGACAACCGTTGCGGCTCTGAAGAACTTCCACCTGCAGCCGGACACGATCTACTGTGTATATGTCATCGTCGTCCCAAGTACATATTACCTCTGCACTTGTTAACTCGACGCCGAGGTTTCTCTTTTCGCCAATGGTTCTCCGCCGTTCGAAGTAATGGTAATGAATTGCACGCCGTGCAGAAGATGCAAAATCGGCAACACGATCCGCACTGCTGGTACGGCTGTCGTCGAGCACGACAACATCAATTTCCCCAGGATAATCCTGAGCCTCAATTTGCCCGAGGGCTTCCAAGAGAAGATCAGGCCTCTCGTACGTGACAAGTTGCACGCTCACTGCAGGCAGCCGGCTCATAATACGGTGGCCCATTCTGCTCTGCGGACGCAAGCTGGAAGCAGCCGCTCCCATGCCTTTAGCACTTGCCATTTGCACTGCTGGCCGCCGCCAGACTGCGGCACAGCAGCCCACACACATGCCAAAGATCATCAACTTCTGCCAACTATCCGCAGCCCCATCTCGACGGCCAGCCCGCACTCGGGAAGAAGACCGTCTGCACGCCCGCCCTCTGGTGCAGTGTGGTGCGGCATTGGCTCCGCCCATTCTTCCACTGACAAGCCAAGACTTGAGGCAAAGGTGTTACTCAGGGACAGCCCTTGCACCCTTCGAGCTGGCAGGCCTGCCGACGGCATGCCACGTTGGGCGGAGAGGCCCCCGACGGCGCGCGAGTGAACGACCAGGCCCTCGCCCCCCGGACCCCGTTTCTTACCAGCACCCAGTCCCCAGTTGTCTTACCGGGAGGGGCGAAGCAGTACCGATACCGCTGCTCTGCGGACCTCTCCCGGGGTGCATTTTGGAATGCAGTTCGATGAGAATCGAGCCGTGGCGACGAGGGCTCTCAAGGACGAGCAGCGGTATCCCGAGAGATAGCCCTCGAAACCGCCAGCGGGCCCCCACGAGGCCCCCAAGACGCCCCGAGAGACCCAAAAGACTGCCCGAAGAGGCCCGAGGAGGTCTCAGCAATGCTGCGAAGAGGGCTCCGAGACACCTCCTGAGAGACACCAAGAAGCTTCTTGCACAGGCGGTTTGTCCACGACTCCGTCCCACCCCAAGACACCCTGAGATAAGCCCGACGCCTCCACCCTACACCCCCGAGCACGCCTCACAACAAACACAAGGCACTGCGAGACGACCCCTCAGATGGTCCAAGAGCCCAACCAGAGCCACCAAAGATGCTCCAAGAGACCACAAGCAACCAAATCCCCACAACACTACTGTTCCCCACATTCTCGTCCTTCTACACTCATGGTCAGCATCACCACCAACATCACCATCACCATCACCATCACCATCACCATCACCATCACCATCACCACCATCATCATCATCATCAGCAGCATCATCAGCATCATCATCAGCACCATCCTCATCATCGCATACGCTCGAACAGGCATGTTAACTCACTCACACACTCACACATTACTATGGAGCAGGGCTTCGAGCGGGAGTAACGTCTGTGAGGGGATCACGAGGAAGTCACGAGCAAGATCCCCTCCATATGGGGTCCCCACCTCCATGTTTGGATCCGAGGTGGCCAGGAGCACGAGCCTCGTGACTGAGCAAAGTTAGAGGTTGTCTCGAGCGGGGGTCTCGTCTGGTAGAATCGCGAGGAAGTGTCGTACGGGCACCCCCCCCTATGGGGTCCCCACCTCCATGGTCGCATTCGAGCGGGGCACATTAATCCCGTAGCTGTCGTCACTTTTGGGCACCTCAGCCTGGCGTCTGTGAGAGAATCGCGGGAAAGTCTCGAGCGGGAGCCCATCCCTGTGGGGTCCCCTGTGCCAAATTCGAATCCGAGCAAATCGTCCAACTCCTGCAACTGTCATCCTTGTTGGGCTCCTCGGGCTTGAATCCGGAGGGAGTCTAGAGCGGGAGTCTCGTCTGTGAGTGAATTGCGAGGACGTCTCGAGCGGGAGTCCATTCCTAAGGGGTCCCCGTATCCACGCTCAAATCCGAGTGGGTCATCGTCGTCACTTTTGGGCTCCCCGGGCTTGAATCCAGAGGAAGTCTCGAGCGGGAGCCTCGTCTGCGAGTGAAGCGCGAGGAAATCTCGAGTGGGAACCCTCTTCCTACCTAGCAGTGATGAGATATGGGCTGGTGGTCTGAAAATGGGAGGCTTGGAAATTTGCACCAACACCAATAGAGGAGTTGTTTGCCTCCCCTAGGGGAATATGATCCCAGATCTGGGTGTTGGTGGTAATCCTTCGGCCACCTAGGAAGCCCAAATATTACCACTACCACCGAGATGGGGATCATCCTCCCTCGGTGGAGGCACACCGCCGCTGTTGGTGTTGGTGTCAGCCTCAAGGCCTCCGAGGAAAGCAAAGGGAGGGCTGTGCCCGGGCTTCGCCTGGTGCCTGCCCGGTGCCCGCCCGCAGCCGGGCTCCGAGGGAGGCGATCCCCAACCGGGGTGGTACGCTGGCGGGGCCGAGACACCATGGCCCATTGGGGGACAGGGACCGGGTAAACGATGCTGACTCGGGGTGGGGCTCTCTGGCTTTTTCTGGGGCCCCTCTCTGAGGCCCCTGGCGGCCCCTACTCGCGGCCCTCTTGGGCAAACTCTTGGGGCCCTCTCTGGGAGCCTCATCTGGGCCGTCTTGGGGCGACTTGTCCGGCCTGTTGGGCCGTCTTGGGCCGTGGCAAACCCGCACAGGCGAGCACCCGAAAACCTTTCAAACACATGTGAGTCTCAATGTTTTTGGCCTCGTGTGGCCCTCTAGAAGTCCTCTTGAAGGCCTCTTTGGTCGTCTTGGGCCCCGTTGGACCGTCTTGATATCGTCGTTGGCCATGTTGGATCTTGGGCGGTCTTGGACTTTCTTGAAGCGCTCTTGGGCTGGCTCGGAGCCGTCTTGGACCTCTGGAGGGCCGTGTTGGGGACGTCTTGGGCGTTTTGGGGAGCCTCTTCGACCATCTCGGGGGAGGGGGATACCAGGGGTGTTACCAGGGCCTGGACGCGGTTCCCCCCTCCCCTGGAACCCTAGAGAGCTTCGCCAAACCAGAACGTCATCAATTGTACCTCGCTCTTTCTGTCATGCTCTTCTGTTGCCTGGTAAGGTGTTTGACATGTATTCTAGGGCTCTGCCTACTCGCGACCGCCCCTAGAACATCGCCTCTCCCCTCTCCAGAGCCGGTGTTAAATCATCTGTCGCACAAAATTGCAGAGAAAACAAACAGCAAAGGGCCCATAAACAAGCCCACGAGAGGGGTCAAAACAGGCCCCCCGAGGCGGGTCACGAGAGCCCCCCCCATCCCCGAGGAGCGCCCAAGAGCACCCAAGAAGCCCCCAAGGCCCTCAAGAGGCCCCCAAGAGGCCGCCAAGCAGCCCCTAAGGACCCCCCAGACGCCCCAAGAGGCACACAAGACGCCCCAAGAAGCTCTGAAAACTACCAAAAGGCCCCCAAGACGTCCCAAGAGGCCTACAGGAGGTCCCAAGAGGCCCCCAGGAGCCGCTGGGATGCACCCAAGACGCCCCAAGAGGCCTCCAAGAGACCCCGAGAAATATTCCAAGAGACTCCGAGAGGCAATCAAAAAGCATCTGGCCCACGGAGGCTCCCCGAGCTCTCCAAATTATGCCACGCCCCCCGATAAGGGCAGCTCCCCCGGGCATCGTTGCTGGATGGACTGGTACGACTCGTAAAGCATCGAGAAGTCAAGCTCCTTCTGATTACGCTGTGGCTCAAGCACGGCTGCGTTTTGCCGCTGGCATATGGATACAGCGTGCATTACATATCTCGCAACACACAGTTTGCATCACACAACTTGCACCACATAGCGTGCAATGCATAGCCTCCACCAAATCGATTGCACCATGTACATAATGACTGATATAGCTTGAAACGCATAGCTTGCACCACATGTACTGCGCCACACAGCTTGCATCATGCAACGCTCATCACAGAGTGTGCACCACATAGCTCGCACCACAGTGATGGCTCACCATATGCCTTGCGGCATACAGATCGCAAAGTGTACAGAATGCACGACACAGCTTACTACCAGCCTGGAACATATCCCTATCCCTATGCTGCGCATCGCCTCATCACGATGCCGATCCTAGGGATTCCCTCAGCTTCTGAGGGCGCATCCCTAAGATTGTCATCGCCTTTTGGCGTGTCAGTCTTAGGGACAGGGATCACTTCGAGGCTGGTGAACTTACCTTGCGTGCATTGCACATGAGAGGTGCACGAGCCTGCTACGTGGGCTCCCCGCCGGCCAACACACCTACACAGTTCTGCACATGTATGCGAAGACGCATGCGAGGGCACTTCGCATCCCACGCTCAGGTCCAGCGGAACACACTAGTACAAGTCGCGCCGCGCGCACGACAGCCTCCTCGCCCTTGTCCGCTCCTCCTCCTCATCCTTCCCCGTCTTCCCGCTCCTGCCACTCCCCCATATTCCTCATCCTCCTTCCCCCTCCTCGCCCTCCTGCAGTTCCTCCAACTTCCTGGTATGTCTCCTCTTCCTTGTCGGCACCATACATCACGATCATCAGCATCATCATCATCTGCATCAGCAGGATCATCATCATCATCAGCATCATCATTCTCACTATCATAATCATAATCAGCATCATCAGCATCATCAACAACATCATCATCAGTACCACCACCATCATCATCATCATCATCATCATCATCATCATCATCACCATCATCACCATCATCACCATCACAATCAACAGCATCACCATCACCATCACCATCACCATCACCATCATCAGCATCATCAGAATCACAATCAAAATAATGATCATCATCCTCATTATCCTCATCTCCATGATCATCATCCTCATCATCCTCATCTCCATCGCTTCCTTCTCATCCTCCCACTCTTCTTATTCGACCCTTCACATCGTCGATTCCTCTTACTCTTCCTCCTCATCCTCCTCCTCCTCCTCCTCCTCATGCTACCCTGCCCTCCTGCCCCTCCTCCTTCTTCAACGCCTTCATTCGTCTCCTCCTCCTGATCCCCTTTCGTTCTCTCTCCCTCACGGTCTCACTCTCTCTCTCTCTCTCTCTCGCTCTCTCTCCCTCTCTCTCCTTCTCTGTCTCGGTCTCTCTCTCTCTCTCTCTCTATATATATATATATATGTGTATATATATCGCCCTCTCTCTGCTCAACTTTCTCCCTCTCTCTCTTCTTCTGTCTCTTTCTCTTTCTATGTCTCCAGCTCTCCGTCTCTCCCTCTCTCTCTCTCTCCCTCTTTCTCTCTCTCCCTGTCTCTTTTGATCTCGCACTTCCTCTCTCGCTCTCTCTCTCTTTCTCTGAACGTATCTTTGTCTCTCTCTCCCTCTCTCTCTCTCTTTCCCTCTCCCTATCGTTCTCTTCCCATACCCTCACCTCCTCCTCCGTCCCGTTCATCCCTCGACCCATCCCCCCCCGGCGCGCTCCCCCCCCTCCACAAGAGCAGCCCCAGCCCCTACAAAAGAGCATCAGCTCGCGCATTTGGTAGAGGAAGAAAAAACGGCATAAACATCAACTTTCGACGGTCCGCGCGGATTTCCTGGATCTGTGCTCGACCCCCCTCCCTGGCGCGCGGAGCGCGCCAGTGGCGGCGCCAGAGGCGCTGCTAGGGGGTCCCAGCGCAGATCCAAGAAATCCGCGCGGACCGCCACAAGTTCATGTCTACGCCGTTTTCTGTCCTTCGGTCTCGGTTCCCCGGCGCCTTCCGGCGCCGACGTGCATCGAGGAATGGCGCCCCTGGCGGTGGGGCCGAAGCCCTTTCCCTCGCTCCTTTCGTCCGACACGACGCCTCCGCGCCGCCAGCTGGGCAGCCCCCTGGAGGCCCCTCGCAG